GGGTAGATTGGCCCCAAAAAAAAAACCCTAAAAAAAAAAAAAAAAAAAAAAAAAAAAAAAAAAGGAATAAAAAGATGAATACAAAATGATAGCTTGAGGTAATTTTAAAACAACCCAACTGTATAAAATAACAACAGCAGCAACATCAATAACAGCCACCATAAAGATAAACATGAAAAATCAAAAATACCAAGATGAAGGGTATACTGACCAAAATGTTAGCAATGATTATACTTGTAAGTCCTGGATTAGTATGAGACATCTTTTCCCTTCTTTCTTCCATGTATTCTTGTTTCTTCTACCACTATGGCAAGGTTTCACATATACCTAAAAAAAAAAATTACCTATTCCCTTCTAATTCCTTTTATTTTTATTATTTATTTATTTATTTATTTATTTATTTATTTTCCGGAGAGGTTTTTGCCATAGGGCGCATGTGCTTGCCAGACAGAGACAGAGAGACAGAAAGCGAGAAATCACCCCCCAGGGGGGATGGCCATGCCGCAATCCCTTCTTCTCCATTCTTCTCTTGGGATCTTGGGCACGCACGCACACACGCCCGGCGTGAGTTTTAAGCCACTGGGTCCAGGACTCAAACTGTGGTCGACTACATGGGAGTCCAGCAACATAGCCATTATGCTAACTGCTGGTCCCCTTCTAATTTCTTTTATTATGAGCATATGATAAATTAATAATAGGGAAAAACAACCTTTAAAAAGGTATTAAGCTAGGTGTGGTGGCATGCACCTGTAATCCCACCTACTCAGGAAGCTACGGGAAGATTGTGAGTTTGAGGCCAGCCTGAGTAACAGAGTGAGATCCTATCTCCAGGGGAAAATTTTGTTTTACGTCACCTGCCTCATAAATAATACATGTGCGTTGTAAAAACTTCAGATAATACAGCCTTGATGGAGAATAAGGTAAGAAGTTTTTTTTAATCTTTAAACTAGGAAATTTATTTATAGAATGAGAGAACTATGTTTTTTTGAAAAAATACATATAGCTGGCTGTGTGATGTAGTGGAAAATATTCTTGAATGCAAGTCACGATATTTAATGCTGCTTCAGACTCTGCCACTAACTAGTTTTGTGACACCAGGGAAATTATTTTATATTGCCTGTTTCTTCCCAGCTTTACTGAAGTGTACTTGGCAAATAAATATTCCATATACTAAGATATACAACTTGATAATTTGATATATAGATACATTGTGAAATAATCACCATAACAAGCTATCGGGTTGTTGGAAAGGTCATGACCCATAGAAAAAATATGTCATGACTTTTTTGACAACCCAATAATTAACATACCTATCATCTCACAGAGTTATCTTTGCGTTTGTGCGGTAAAAATACTTAAAATCTATACTTTTATCAAATTTTAAGTTTGCAGTACAATATTGTTAACTATGGACACCATGCCGTGTATTAGATCCTTAGACCTTAGTCATCTTGCATTTCTGTGCCCTTCAGCCATTTACTCCACATTTTCTCCTGCCATGTTCCTAGAAATGAATGGAATAAAAAAGAAGTGAGAACACATACCTTTTTATAAGAACATATTAGATATTGTGAGATAAAGAAACATGTAGTAATGGCTTTTCTCATCCCATGAAGGCAAACAATTTGAACTGTAACAAATGAATTTTGACCCATGAGCTTATTTTTTGAAAGGTCTCCAGATTGGATGTTTTTCAGCTCCACAAGGAAAGTTGGTTTTATGTGGAAGGTTCTTCAGATTCTGACTCACTTCAGTTTTGCAAGGGTGGTGAGGAATGATTATGTAGCTCCATCTATAGACTCTTTAGTTTCTAGCCTAATTAATCCAGATGCTTAACCAAGACTGGTTCCCTCCCTTTCCTCTGGAATGCAATAATGGATATGAAAGCTTTTAACTTGGTGCCTAGAACATAATGGGTGCTTACATTTTTTGGCCTTTTTTCCTTCCTTCCTTTATTCCATTTGAAATACTTTAAATTACCACAAAATGGAAGTTTAGAACATTATCTTATTAAAAAAAAAAACAGTATAATACTATCTTAGAAACCATCGTAGATCATCAGGTCTTCAAATTCTCCTGTTTTTCCTGTGCTGGGAAATGAGTTCTTAATTGCTGCCAGCCAGGAGGCCATCATGATGTGGTTGCCGACGCTTGTAAGTGTGCGACCACACTTCCAGAGTAGGTGTCAGCAGCTTGGGAAGAAATCCTCAAAGCAAAAGTTGAGCATGCTTTTTAAAAAAATGCTGTATCACCGATGCAAGGGATGACTGTGTGGAGAGATACAGACATTGAAAACTCGGAGTAAAACTTCCAGAAATTTCCAGTTCTGAAAATGAACACATTTCAGGAGAACCTTAACCAATATATTTGTCTTATTCTTTTCTTTATATACAGGAGTGCAATTTGGGGAAAGGAAGGAATCTAATTAAGTAAAAAGACTTTGGGGGGGTTATTTGAAAATAAGTTTGAGGAGACAACAATATTGTGTCATAATTAATTAGCCATTTGTTTTTACTTTAGAGGTACATAAAATAATTGTGTGCCTTCTGGTTGTTGATGTCTTATATCAGCTGAAATATAATGATTCCAATTATCTTTGAAAACAAATTATCTGTAAGCTTTTAGAAAAATCTTTGACTCAAAGACATGGCGAGCAGTTCTGAGGATCTTGTTTTAATATAAGACAATGTGAGAAATTATACTAATGGCTACTTGTAAAAAAAGAACAATCTTTATTTTCAAGTTCCAAATCACCTTATGAGAAATTACCTACCATGAAGGGATCTGAACAAAAGAGTCTGAATTGTGAATTTCCTCTTTTTCACACCTGTTTCCTATAATGTAATGGCCCCTTACCTTGAATATCTAAACTTATGGATAAGTACTGGAGGTCTGCGGATGCATCTGATATGTCAGAATTGTCAAATTCAGGAACGAGCTATCAGTGACTGTGGATAGAGTCTATATGTTCATTTCTGTTCTTTGATTATGTTCTGATTCTGGACATGTGTTGGTAGTGTGAGCAAATTCATATTAAACCTGCCCTCAGAGTTTCCTGGTGGCATTCTTTGATGAGTCTGTTTTTGCACAGATGCAGAAAAGTAGACATCTGGAAGTTTCTGCTATTCAGCACGGCCCCGAGTATTCCCAATTAGGTCTCTCAATTTCACTTTCTCTGTTATTCCAAAAGCTGTGCCCATGCATATGGGGGGGGGGGGCATGCTAATTTTCATGGCGGGTTCAATAAATTGCTTTCCAAACCCACATTTTAAGAATTTCTGATAAATAGCAAACTCTCACCCTAACAATTTCTCTTTTAATCACAAATGATAGCATAGAAAGTGGCTTGCCATCTGTACACTTGCATGTTTAAAATTCTTCCAATATTAGCAGATTCTTTTCTGTTTTGGATAAATCCGGTTTTGCCTGGCTGCATAATTGAATGTTTTCTGGTCCCTGCTGGATGTGGTTTCTAGTGGAAAATTAAACCATAAGTTCTAAGTGGCCTCAATTAAAAAAAAAAAAAAAAAAACGTTTGGTTGTGACTTTACTGGTAAAAAAATAGAATTAATCAGAAATGTGCTAGGTGATTGGAAACTTTTTTTTTTTTGAGAGGTTTTTACTATAGGGTACGTGTGCTCACCAGAAAGACAGAGACAGAGCGACAGAAAGTGAGAAATCACCCCCAGGGGGTATGGGCACACCAGGGAGATGGCCATGCCATGATCCCTTCTCCTCTATTCTCCTCTTGGGATCTTGGGTATGCATGCACACGTGCCCGGTGTGAGTTTAAACCACCAGGTCTGGGACTTGAACCATGGTTGACTACATGGGAGTCCAGCGACATAGACATTATGTCAACTGCTAGTTCCTAGAACCTTTTCTTTAAGGAATGAGAATTAAAGTATCATGAAGTGGTTGAAAAGATTAGCAAAAGACGTACTCAAAAGATGCCAAGCATGGGTGATTTGTTTTAAAATTTTAGAATTTTCAAAGAATTATTTATTTTTATTTTTATTATTATTATTTTTAATTTGTTGTAGGACATGTATGCTCATGAGAAAGAGAGACAGAGACAGAGAGAAAGTGAGAAAACAAGCTGCCAGGTCTGGGACTCAAACTGTGGTTGGTCGTGTTGGAGTCCAACACCTTAACAATCACCATGTCACCTGCTGGCCCCCAATTTTAGAATTTTTAAATTGAATGTCTTAAAAGTTTTTTTTTCTTTTCAAAGATTTATATTTTCAAGGACATAGGCCATCCCAACAGGGTCCTGATGCTGCTATCCACCCCCAGCCTCAACTAATCTTATCAAGGACACATGCATAGGCAAGACATGCACAGAGCAGCCTCAGGCCATGAACCCAGGACCTTCCCACATGGATCCAGCTGCATTATTGCTATGCTACCATTTGACCCTTACATTGAATTCTTTCTATCACCCATATAAAGAATAGGGTTCCTTTTAAATTATATTAAAAAACGGCACTATTAAAGCACTTGTCACAAAGATGCTCTTGCAGGGGAACAACATGCTTAGTGGTTAAGAACCAAGTTTCTGGAGACAGGCTGCCTCAAGGCTGCCAGTGTCATTATGGGCAAGATATTAAATTTTGCTGCATTTTGTTTCCTCCTCTGTGGAATGGAGTTGATAATGCTAGCACCTCCCCTGGGGAGAATGAAGACTCTGAGGCTCAGGGAGGTTAAGTATCCTGCCCAAAGGTGTGTGAGAAGGAAGGGGCAGAGTAGAGCTGTCTTCCAACTGTCTTCGCACCCTCAAATCCCTTGAGTTATCATGCATACTCTAAGATCATCATGAGGAGATAAGGGCATTGGGATTGTCAATGATGTAGCCTATGATGTGTTCCTAACCAGCTCTCCACGACCCAATATGGCTGACATTAATGTCAATGAATTCCAGATACCACGTGATGAATAAGCATCAACTGCGGCCCAGATGAAATAGAAGAGTTAGTGATTATTTGGCCCTACACAGTGTTGCAATATATATGGTATGTACATAACAGAAGGGGGTCTTATCTTAGAAGTGAATAGGTATCCCCAAGGGCCAGCCACTGGCATGATGTTTGAGACAACTGTAGCCCAGTGGCCAACTGGGCAATTCGAGTCCCAGACTTAGTAACTTGAAATTCATCACATTGGACACATGTGCATGTGTGCTCAAAATCCCAAAAGAAGAACAGAGGAGAAGGGATTGAGGAGTGGCCATTCCCTCTAGGAGAGGGTATTTTCTCAATTTTCCTCTCTCTGTCTCTCTCTGATGAGCACATGTGCCCTATAATAAATTTTTAAGACAAGTATTTCCCTCTCACATGCCTACTGAGAGAAAAGGGGCCTACAGAGGTATAGTGATACACCCGAGGGCACATGTGAAGTGACAGGGTAGGTTTGGAACCTGAGCATTTGTTTCTGGTGTGGGGCTCCTTTGACCCCTCATGGCACCTGGGAGGGTGCTGATTCCTTTTTTTGGGAGAAGTTTTTAGTATAGGGCGCGTGTGCTTGCCAGACAAACAGAGAGAGACAGGGTAGGGTTAGGGCTCACCCCAGTGATCTCACTTACCTCAGTTACATCTTAAATGGCTCTATCTCCAAATAGTTACATTTTGAAATACTAAGAGTCAGAGCTTCAACACCTGAATTTCGGGGGAACCCAGTTCCAACTCGTAGCTATACTCTACACTTGTGGGTCTTACTTGAATCTGAAATAGTATCTGCAAGGACTGCTCCAGGTGCTACTGCGTTACCATGAAAGAGTACACATTCCAGCTAGTTAGCACGTGGCCTGCTAGCACTAAGGGATTAGGAAGGAGCATACTTCTAGCCAACTGTTGTCTAATTTCCAAACTCCTGAGACCTACTGCTTCATTAACACTGGGAGGGGTGAGCATGGCTGGGGGAAGACACCAAGCTGCTGGTTGGCTGTCAGAACACCCGTGTGGCTTCAGACCTGCAAAGTACACTGGGCTGCAAGAAAGACTTGGCACCAGGGACATCCTCTGACCTCAGCCCTTTGGTTTTCTTTGAGGCAGGAATGAAGGACAAAAGCTGGGCCACTCACGGGCCCGCAAGAGGTGGAGACAGGAGCACAGGGCAGTCATTCACACTCTAAGCGAGTGGGCTGTGCTTAAAAGGAACGTGCAGGAGTTTTCTTACTTTTACTTATTAAGAAAGCAGGTTTATCCAAGAATATAGCATCTTCCCAGCCACCTACCTTCCTTCCTCCTCCCTCTTCATTTCCTTATCTCTTCTTAATTATTTATAGTGAGGGCCTGCTATGCACAAGGCACTCTGCTTGGTCCTGTGGGGGAAAGAGGTGACTCATAGGAGCTCTGCCTTGCATACTTTATTCGGATAACCCATTCCCTGCTCTGGTTTGAATTTCGCTTTCAGGCATTGCTCTGCTACTTCTTGGCAAACCTGAAAGCCACCTGGACTAAGTGTCTCCAGACTTCCCTCCCTCCAAGTTCTCTGTCCTTCCTGTGGAGTGAGCAGGACTGTCAACCCAGCCCTTCCCCAGCCGCTCTGCTCCCTCTCAGCCAGGGCCTCAGCAGAAGCCTTGGCCCCTGACCCCTCTGTCTGGCTGGTTAATAACTCGCTCTGTTCTGCCTCCCAGGCTTCTTTGTTTTTCCTTTTTTGATGTGTTCCTTCTGATTCCTCCCACTTCTTCCTCTTCTCATTTTTGACTCCTTCCCTGATTCACATTGATCATCTCGGATGAGCCAGCTTAGTATGGAAAACTGAAGGTTCTAATGATTTACTTCCTCTCTTCCCACTGTTTGTTCTGGGGGAAGGATATGCGTCCAGTATGCCTTCCTCAGAGCTGAGTCTATAAAGTCAGGTCCTAGAGCATTCGTCCCTATCCACAACCTTCCCTCCTCCTCAGGTCACTTCCCAGTCATTGAGCATTACTCAATGTTTAGTTTTTAAAGTAAAGAGTAGGAAGGACATAGGACTTAAATAACGAGATTATACAACGTGATTTAAAGCTTCTCTGCAGGTTATAATATGTTAGGATTCATGCCTGAAACAGAACACAAAACAGGCACATATTCTACTTGAAAATTTCATTCCTACAACCTCATTCCAAGGAAAAGAAGTGGTCAAATCAACTTTTTTATTTTTCCTAATCACATAGAAGCAACTAGATTATTCTCTCCAAACCTGGCAGCCCCTAAGATGGCTGCCCCCCATCTCCTGCTAATTCAGTGTAACCCATTCTTCATGCCCCAGGCAGAAATCCCATCTCTCTGTCAGATGCCTGGGCACCTGTGGGTCCTCTGCCTCAGCCACCTTTGTACCCAGGGTCAGACAACTAACAGGGAATTTGTAGACGTGCCGGGGTGGACTTGGAATGAACTTTCTCCAGCCTCCTAGAACCCCCCGCTTCACTCTAGCGTATTTAGTGTCCATACCACTCGTTTGGACATATCCTAGATGCCTTTTGACATTGCTAACTAGTCCCCTTGAGACCGAACGCTTTGTCCTTTTCACCAAGATTGTCCATTCCTTGATGTGAGGGACACTGCTTCAGTTATTCCTCCATATTGCTTCCCATTGTCTGGTGCACAGGGAGTGTACACAAATATTGTTGCTTTAAAGGCTGTTTCTTTTGCCTTGACAGCAGTGTCTGTTGGCAACCATGTGCAGAAAGCTGATTTAGCAGAAACCGTAATTTTATTGGGAGTAAATTTTGAGGAGTGTTTGATTTCCATGCCTTTTAAGTGGAGCGGTAAATTGTCAGCAGAATTGCTTCGTTTGGTCAAAGGCATTTACTGAGCAGTTGCTTTGCACAGAACACCAAACCAGACAATGTTCTGCCTGGTAAGGGCTCAGAGTCCACAGAACGTCTTGCTGCGGGCCCTGACTGGGGGAGAGTGTTTGTGCTCACCAGTGAGCCACGATGATCCGTGGGCTCTGCGCGTGGTCCAGCCATGCCTGAACCTTCCTGTGGGAGGGACCTGTGGCTGAATGCAACCCCCTTCCGTGGTGCTGGATTGTTGCCCCTCTCCCAGCCTGTCCCTCCCCTGGTAGCCAGAAGAGATTTTGCAGTAAGTTAGCAGACTTGACTCCAAAAAGCACACTGGCTTTTCAAGAAACTTCAAACTTACCTGCAAAAGAAATAACGTGCAGGGAGGAATGAACCCGACAAAGCTAAAAGGGAGGGATTTCAAGCTGTGTTTTAGCAAGCCAGTCACAGAGTATTCACGTGTTAATTCATTGGCACGTTCAGTGGCAGAAGCACCTCCACTCTGGCGTCCCCCACTTGCAACTGTTGGGCTGCAGCAGAATTTGTTCTGAGTCCGGGCAGAGCCCCCTTCTGCGGAGCAGCCCTCTGGATTCATTTACAGCAAGTCTGGTGAAAGCGCTCCTCGCCTTCTCATTGCACACAAAGGCGAGGAGCTCCTTAAAGGGACCTGCCTGCCTCTGCGAGCAGCTGACACCCGAGTCAGTGCGGGCGCAGCCAGCCAGTCTTTCCCCGAGAATGAGTGGGGAGGGGTCCTGAGGCGCTCCCACGTCCTCCCTGTGCGAGGGAGGGAGGAAACTGACAGCCAGAGCGGATGCAGACCCCCGGACCGCGGGGAGCGGCTTGCGATTAGCTGCTTCTTGGGGTGCTCCGCGCGCCAGTGGAGCATCCTGCCTGTGTCCAGAGGATGCTGGCGGCGCATCTTGCGGTATGCCTGCGTTGATTTGAGCCAGCGCCCAGAAGCGAGCCCGCATTCAGACACAGCGCACAGGCTTCGGGCAAGGCTACGTGCCGTCACCATGAATGCTCAGCTCTAGGCTCTGCAAAAGCCTCCGACCACATGGATTTGGCTGTTTAATCAACCGAGATTACCGCCCGGGAAGATTTGCAAGCCTGATCCGCGCTCCAGCTGCTGTGACAACTTCGGGGTTGGCTGTTTACTTCTCTCGGTCTCCGGGACTCTGTCCTGCACCACAGCCTCTTCTGCCACTTTGCCGGCTCTAAAGTCAGCCTCCAGGTCTCCTCTGAAGGCGTCCCCAGGAAGCGGGGGCAAGGAGGGGTTAAAGGCGAGCAGAAGCCCTCCCAACTGCTCAGCCTCTCCTGCCTGCCTGTGTTCTGGGGTTCTGAGAGGGACCGCGCGCTGCCCGGGGAAGCAATGCAAGTCTCCATAGCCTGCACAGAGCACAATCTGAAGAGCCGGAATGGTGAGGACCGACTTCTGAGCAAGCAGAGCTCCACCGCCCCCAATGTGGTGAGCGCAGCCCGGGCCAAATTCCGCACGGTTGCTATCATCGCGCGCAGCCTGGGGACGTTCACCCCTCAGCATCACATTTCTCTCAAAGAGTCCACCGCAAAGCAGACTGGCATGAAATATAGGTAGGAACGTCAGATCCCCTCTGCCCGTGGCTTCCGCGTTCTGTACAGGTGCAGTGGAGACAGCCCATGGTCTTGAAAAGTGACTTACTTATCAGTGGGTTGCTTAATTTAGAATTCTCAGGTGTTTCTAAAATAGCTCCTTAGGAGGACGGAAAAGCCCAAGGTGGTTGTGTGTGTGTGTGTGTGTGTGTGTGTGTGTGTATGCTTTTTAAAAGTGTAGTCCATTTTGTATATTCTACAGTGCTATGAATACCTTAGGAGGTGTGTAAATTTTGGTCCACAGACAAAACACAACTGCTAGAAACTGGTGTTTAGATCAGGGTAGTTTTCCCAAAACAAATGCGTGTGCCTTGTAAAGACTACAGTTTCTGTAACTATACTAACAAAAATAGTTTTCCACTGAACACAGCACTCCTCTTCATCTTCTGAAAGACCAAGGAAACAAGTCCTATGCAACACTTTTAAGGTTTTTTTTGCAGAAAAAATACTTTTATAATGGCACATTAGGTTGAACACTGCCATATTTAAATCTAAATTACTGCTTGATACAAAACATAGAACTTGTCAAGTGTGGAGAAAAGGTCTGTTGTTGTAATATCGCCACTTTCTTCATACATTTTCAAGTTTCTTCTTCTTCTGTATTGTTTTCCGTAGTTGCAAATCTTTGCGGTAACAGTCGATGCTCTCTCTAATAGAAAAGGACTTAAATTTGATAAGTAGAAAATTTCACTATTCAAGTATGTGACTCCTACCTCCTTACATTGGTTTTGTTCCAAGGCTTCTTGACTATGTCCTTCAAACTATGGTGCCTTTAGTTTCTGTAAGCATTTGCAGATGTAGAAAAGCTACTGACATATCTTCCAAAGACTTTGGTTGCTCTAGTTCACACATAGGCTTTTGTTAATTATTTACACTTAACTATCTCTTCTCTTGTTAGGAGCCAAGCTTGAGGGATAAAGTAAGCTTAATAAATGAAAATCATGCACACCTAAGACTACGGTTTTCGTATGGAGTTGTTGAAATAAACATTTAAACATTTATGTACACACACATACACACACACACACACACACACACATATATCTATATAAAAGTTGCCCTTGCAAGAAGTTTCTTTGCAGAGTTACTGTAGAACTTCCCATTGCAAAAATATCAAGCACCAATGTTTTGATGTTTTCGAGTCATTAAGAAAGACAGTCTGTGAGTGAGACATAACGAAACAACCATAGCCAAAGCTCTTTGCCCAGCCGCAGTAAAAGTGCAAGTAGCCAAACTCTAGTCAACTCGTCGAAGTGCCGGCAGGGTGATGGCTCTCTGCCTTGCCCAGGATGTTGGTGATGGAGAGTGAGGCCCCACACTGACAGGTCTCTAAATGATACTGCAGTCTCCGGTGCACTGGCATCTCCTATCATTGCTGCCGTGGCACACACCCAGCCCCTGCCCTGTGGACTGCATGCAGTTCAGCTGCTGAGATGAAGAGCTACTGACTTCCTGGGCAGGAACCCCAGGAATGGGAGGTTCCAGGATTAAAATGGATCTCAAAAGAGTGGTTCAAATGGTGGCCTCCAGCATTTTCGCAGCACTATAAATTCTCTCTTTGTAAAACAGATCAAGTAAAATGGAATGTCACTTCTTGTGCAGTTTTATAGTTGAATGGATGACGGTGCTGGAACCGTTTGGTCCATTGAGGGCTTTTAGAAGTCAGGCGCTTTCCCTTAAGGTTCTTCTGGTAACATGTATAGTTCTACTCAGGAGGCTGTCTGTCTGTTTCCCAAAAGTCCATGTGTGAGCAAGATTCACCTGGGTACCCTTCATTGCTGGCAACTAAGGACAGCTCTTCTCTGACAAAACGTTACCCACCTGGGGGTCTTCTGGATAGTGGGAATTATTTGTTGTTTATGGCGACTAAGCAAGATGCCTCTTCTGCTTCTTATTATGAATGGCTCCATTTATGACAGTCAGAGATGTGTGTGTGTGTGTGTGTGTGTGTGTGCGTGTGAGAGAGAGAGAGAGACTTAATTCTCGCTTTCAAATTCTACTCAGAATGACCTTTATGAAAGCATTACGAGATTGTACAAAACATATGCCAAACTCTCTTAGGGCTGGAAGTAGGAAAAAAGACTAACTATATGCTTTATCAAAATGACAGAATCACTTTTTATTAGCCGAGTTATCTTTTCATATTGTTACTAACATGCAATGTGCGGATATGGGCTATTTGTTAGCAAGTAATGCTGCAGGGTGAGAAAGGTAATTGGCTTGAGTAAATATTCTGGCAAATGCCTGAAGGAACTGGGATGAAAAGTTAATGGCAAATTGTGGTTCTAATAATATTTATTTCATCCTCAAAGATGGTTTGCAGAGCTCCTAGGGGGATCCATGAACTACCTAGAAGTTCAAAACTATTGTCTTTTTGTGCTTTTTTTTTTTTTTTTTCTTTTTGATGAGAAGGCTTATGGCTTTCATTAGAATTTTTAAAGTGTCCACTACTCAAAAATAGATTGTCCACTATCACCAGTTTTATTAAGTGAAGAGACACTCATTTAGTCGACAAGCATTTATTGAGCACTTACTGTGTACCAGAAACCTTACTAGAGTTGAGTACACAAAGGTGGATAAAACAGACAAGGTTGCTTGAAACTTAAATTTAGAGTGGGGAAACAGCATAAATAAGAGATGGAATGAATGAGAAAATTGCCTATTGTAAGACACTCTTATGAAGGTTATACTTAGGGTGAGTATTAGAGTGATGCCTAGGCCGATTTAGTGTTTCCATCAGATGCTATCAACTCTGTGTCAGTTCCAGTGTTAAAGGTTACATCTTAGAGCATGAATTATGCTCATATCTGCTACCAAATTTGCTATCCCAATGACTACTTTCAGGTCCAATACTGCTATGTTACCTGGCAGTGGAGGACATATTTATGATCCTAGCACATAAGAACACTTTCTACTAATATAATGCCTTATGAATGCTAAAGCCCAAGTTATATTATAACCTATGAGTACTAGCCTTTCATCCAAAACTCATGATATGGGAATTTTAGAAACAACTGGTATACACTTGTGCAAAGCATTAAGTCGCAAAAATGAAGTCCTCAAAACGACTGCTATCACAGCATCATGTGCAAGAATCTTGTATAAAACTGGCTAGTTCAAGGTTGAAGATGGAAGAAAATGACCTAGTAGAACATTCTGCCATCTAAATGCTATTGTCAGCCCAAGAGCAAGCTTCTACCCAGTGTTTATCCTGGGAACTATTCTCCATGTAAATAACACAGGACTGATCTGTTTCCTAGAGCTTTTACCCGTGTGCTTTATTAATGCATGTGAGTTTCTTTATTCTAGTGTTGCAGATGTTATTGATCTCGGAGACCCCCCACCCTGCCAGTCTGACATACACTCTGCCACCACAAGTCATGCAGGCACACATGATAGATGCAGTACATACAGGAACCTTTCATCCTAAGAACAGCAAATCACTCAGAACGAAAGCTAAGCCAAGTTTGTTTTTTGTTTGCTTTTGTTTGTTTGGTTTGTTGTTTATAATCTTTTAGATAACTTTTTAGAATAATCCCCCTACTAGTATTTGATATGATCTCAGAGCTTTTATCATTCAAAATTGAGCACATTTGTACTGATACGCCATTTTCTACATTCAAAATTATTTTAGCTCTAGGGACCAGCAGATAGCATAATGGCTATGTTGCTGGATTCCATGTAGTCAACTGAGGTTCGAGTCCCGGACCCGGTGGCTTAAAATCATGCCAGGTGCCTGTGCATGCCCAAGATCCCAAGAGGAGAATGGAGGAGAGGGAATTGCAGCATGGCCATCCCCTCTGGGGGGCGATTTCTCTCTTTCTGTCTCTCTCTCTCTCTTTGTCTTTCTGACGAGTGTACATGCCCTATAGCAAAAACTTCTCAAAAAAATTATTTTAGTTCTAGAACAGTTTGAATATCGATGGATTCAATTTCTGAGGAAAAGTTTGTTTGAAATATGTACATTCAAGGTAATGTAACTTTCTGCTATATAGTTATATAAAACATGCTTTGAAATGTTTAAGAGAATTTCTTACCAAAAATATCTGAGAAATAATCTTTAAATTCAGTTTTCCTTCTACACTTTACTATTGATTTTTTGAAGTAATTATAGATTCACAAGAATTTGGAAAAAAAAATGTAGAAGGAATTCCCAGGTATCCATAAATGTCGTGTTTCCCCAGTGGTGACATCTCGGTTAACTAGCTAGCATCATATCAATTCCAGGAAATGAAGGGTGGTACAGTACACAGATTCCACCAGGTCATTCATTTGTGTCTGTGTTGATATGTCTATGGAAACTTAGCACATGTACAGCTTTATGTAACCACCGCCTCAGTGAAGAATCAGAATTGTTCCATCATCCCAAAGCACCCTCCTGCATCCCTTTATAGCCACATTCTCAATCCCAAATCCTTGGTAACCACCCATCTGTGAACCACCTCTATAATTTTGTTGTTTCAAGAATGTTATATAAATGGAATCATACAGTATGTAACCTTTGGAGATTACCTTTTTTGGGGGGTTTTGTTTTTCCCCCACTCCAGCAGGTTTGCTCAGGGAAGCAAGAGAAAATCTTGTAGCTGTAAAAAACAACAGAGGTCACAGCACTATAGAGGTCGGCATAAACCATTTATACATAACGTGAACCTCGACAATGGAGGAGCCATTATGGATTTCTGAGCAGCATGTCTGGTTACAAAGTTCTATTAAGAAAAGACTAATCCAGGCTGGCCTTGTTGCCCAGTGGTTAAGGGAGCTGGATCCCATATGGCAACCAAGTGGGTTGACTCTTAGCCCTAGAGGCTTGAAAAATACACTGAGCATGTCTGTATGCATGCCCTAAATCTTGACAGGATGGAGAAATGGAGAAGGGATTGCAGCATGGTCGCATTCCATTAGGGGGTTTTTCTGCTTCTATCGCTGTCTCTCTTTCTCTCTCTAGCCAGGATCTGTGCCCTCTGGCAAAAATTGAAAAAACAAAAAGAAAAAAATCTGTCAGTAGTTGTTCCAAACAAACAAAAAAACACAAAAAACCCCCACAAAACCCTCTACAAGTTGTAGGTTTGAATTTGTGTTATGTTTTACAGCACTCTTTATTTTCCTATAGAAAATTAGGTCTATATGGAAGGGCTTCAGACTGGATACCAGATCCTTTCCCAAGCTATTCCTTTCACAGCCTCTTTATTAAAGCACACATCACAGCCACCGTTCTCTACCTCCCACGAATGGTGGGCAGATTTTGAATCAAAGCAATTCAAGTGAAAGATCAATCTCGTCAGCCAATTACGTAAAAGGCACTGAGTGCATGTGTGTATGTGTGTGTGTGTGTGTGTGCGAATGTGTGTGTGTATGTGTGTATGCACGCACATGCTAGTCCCTGTATAGGGAAAGTGGGAGGAAATAAGTGGGCTGAAGAGGAGAAAGAGAAGAGCCAGCTCTGTGGCCATGTTTCAAATAGAAATATTTGATTTTAGTCCAGAAAAGAGAGCAGCTTGGTTATTTAAAATGCCAAGTTTCTTTTTTTTTCTTTCTTTCTTTCTTTTTTGTTTTTGGTAAAGGATACCAATGTCATTTCCACGAACACTCATGGGTGTAGACTTTCCTCTCTGCCTCAAAGCAAAATGGTGAGAATGGGGAGGTGGAGAAACCTTCCTAAAAATTGGTTGCTGATTCAATCTCACAGAGTTTATTCCACCTCTGCAAGGCACCAGTCAGAAGTCTGGCATCCATGGGATGGTGAGAAAATGGTAGGAGGGGAGGGAGCCTCCGGGAAGTTGTTAGGCAAACGTTGTTCCAGTTCCATAGTTCTGGAAATGTGTGTGTGTGTGTGTGTGTGTGTATGGAGGGGTGGGTCTGCAGATCTCTGTGTGTGTGTTCATGCTTGTGCACATGCATGTGAAGAAATCTATAGACAGAATTTCTATAAACAGCTTATTTTCTAGCTGTAATCTTCAATTTGGCTGCTACTCATGGAGACCTTACTCCCAAATTCACTCAGTGACCTTCTTGAGACATGCACTCACTTCAAAGAATTTAAAGAAAAAAAAACTGTGTAAATATCAATTTATTGGCAGTTGGCATAATGGCTATGTCTCTGGACTCCCATGTAGTCAACCATGGTTCGAGTTCTGGACCCGGTGTCTTAAACTTATGCTGGGTGTATGTATGTATGTATGTGCCCAAGATCCCAAGAGGAGAATGGAGGAGAAGGAATTGCGGCATGGCCATCCACCCTGCGGGTGGTTTCTCGCTTTCTGTCTCTGTCTCTCTCTGTCTTTCTGGCAAATGCACGTGTCCGATAGCAAAAACCTCACCAAAAAAATACATCAATTTATGAACAGTATAATACTTAGGTCCAGTGAATCCAATCAAAATATACGACTCTTGAGTTCTTTGTGTTCTTCAAAGTACCTTTTAGGAGAGAAAACCCCTTTCTGAGAAAGGCTGGATTCATAAGCATCAATCAATTGATACTTTTTCTTCCAGAATTTCAGAACAATTCATATAGCCATGAGACCTAATAAGAAGTAATCTGATGTTGTGTTAATCATGTAATATGCTTAAAAAATGTTTTTATCACTAGTGTCACATTATTTTAAACAGAATGGCAGGTTTCTTAGTCAGAGTTACCCAAGAAAGCCAAGGAGAGAGGCAACACCAAACTTGGGTGCCCTGACTTCAGGTGCAATGTTCCTTATGCTCTTTGACAGTCTATGCTGCAGTTTCTTGGTTATGTCCCACTTTCGACAGAAAAGAAGTACAGTGCATGAAACATTTCTAGAAAGGACAGCTCCCTTCTCTACATATGCACAGTTTGCAGCTCAAGCTTCTATCTCAAGAAGAAGCAAAACCCTGCTATGCACTAAGAGAGCCAAATCAGCTCTGTCTCCTGCAAGGCTGGGAGGACCCCAAAATGCTTCCATGGCAGCTTTCTATGGGTGTATATTCTGAAGCTGGACGTTAATTCACTTCCAGATGATAGTGTGCTTAGCACTCCAGTGTCCACAGCACTGCTGTCTTAGAAAGAGCTCTACAAAACTGTGGGCACAGATAATCAGATAGAGCTACATGTCAACATTGGCTAGGAAATCACTTCTGGGCATTCAGTGCTAAAGCTTGCTCCTGAAACACAGAATTGAAATTCATTTAAAAATTCTTTTATTGTGAGTTGATTTTCAGTTACCCAGACTGGAAATCAAAACAAAAGCCCAGCAGTGATTTTTTTTTTTCTTGCATTTTTCTTGGAATCAACAGCTAGGGAGGACTCTGAGAGCACTCGCTCAGGCCATCTGGTCCAGCCCTCATGAGAAATCTGTTTTTCCAATTTGCACCATGCAGCAACTACTTGAAAAGGCCTCTGAAGAAATATTGTGTAATCCCCTTTCAGGCAGTCATGAGAAATTTGGCTCTTCTTTCTAAGTATCAGAATCATTCATTAAGCTCTGAAGTCCTCAGAGAAAGCAATAAGGAGAGGGTTTTTAGAATGCTTTCCTTTTGTCTGGAGCCCAACTGTTGAGTCAGGGAGGAAAATGAAGACAGAAGATTGAGGGTCAAGAAACTGGAAGCACACTAGTGGCCTACAGTGTGCTCAGCCTCCTCCTGGCCTCTAGAGAGAGGGATTCCTTCCCATTCAGGTCCTAGCACCTGCTCATCTGTCCTGACTTCTATTTCTAAAGGACCTAAGAGACAAAATATTCCACCACTACAAAACTCCTCCTTGCAATCAACTCAGATTCTTTAAAGTGACATTGAAAACTTCTTGGCCTGTCCTCTGTTGAGATAAAAATGAGCTAGCTCTAATTTCCTGCCTTATAAGGCTTCTGGTACTTGATAATCATTACTATAATTCAGCTTCCTAATTTCTAGAATGGTTCCCATCATTTTCCAAAGATTTCATTTTCTGACTCTTGACTGTAGCTATGACTCTCACTTAAACTCTCCATACAATGACTACTCTTCATCAAGTCAATTGGTGCTGGATGTAATTCCTAGTATAGGTCTATACTTCTCAGTACAGAGTGGCAGGGTTGCCTACTAGCAGAAACGTGCTTTGTTTTTTTTTTGTTTGTTTGTTTGCATTCCCTGGTGATACTTACTGGTTTAGAAGAAACAAAAATTTTTTTTGAATATTTTGAACCAATCTTTGAAAAAATTGCTTTGAAGCATGTAAAAATTATATTCTAACCTATTTGTTATGATAATGGGGTATTATTATGTTGACACATAGTAACTCTACTTTTTAAAGAGGTTTTTGCCTTAGGGCATGTGTGCTTGTCAGAGACAGAGAGAGAGAAACAAGAGACAGTGAAAGGAAAAGTGAGAAATCACCCCCCAGCGAGGATGGCTATGCCACAGTCCCTTCTCCTCCCTTCTCCTCTTGGAATTTTGGGCACATTTGCATACATGCCCAGCGTGATTTTCAAGCCACTAGGTCTGGGACTCGAACCATGGTCGACCATGTGGGAGTCCAGTGATGTAACCACTACACCATCTGCTGGCCCTGACACATAGTAACTCTTAAAGAATCATCAGCTCTAAAGGTCGTAATAGTGACAATTGAAGTCTCTGAGGTTAAAGAAATATGAAAAGGTCAAATGTGATATATCGGTTTTGATGGTCATTGAATATCCACTATGACAACTCATAATGTAATTAATTTACCTGTTGATATACTCTTATAGAGAAGGTTTTTTTTTTTCTTAACTTAACAGGTATAAATATAAAGGCAACCGCATATAACTGTAGTGTTATTAACAAGAAAGTTTTTATTTTTATTTATTTTTTATTGTTAACCAACACCTTGCAAGGGAGTGTTCAAGAAGGACTGAATTGTAGGAAATCCCAAGCGCAATGTTCTCCTTGATGAGTGCACATCTACTACAAGGCCCATCTGGTTTAACAGAGCTCTTACATAAGACTAGCAGGCTTTTTTCCTGAGGAGCACATGCTAATAAGCACCTTCTTTTCCTTTTTTTTTTTTTTGAAACTAGAGTTTTATGTTACTGATTTTCTGTTATTAATGTCTTTAGCCTGAGACCACAACAAACTCATTATAAAAATCAACTGTGTAAATAACATGGGTTTAATGAATGCCATTTCTCTCTCAACTCAAGAACCAGCAAAGAATTCCTCTGAGGGAGTTGATGAAAATAGATCTTTTACCCATCATCACTCCATTTCCTACCTCGTATGTACAAGGACTTTCGTATTATGTTGTCTTTGCATTTACTTAAAAAACTGTGGAGAAAAAAAGCCTATAAATACTCAGAAGAGAGACAAACGATCTGATTCCAAGCAGTTCTCCTCTTGATGGAAAGCACATTTGTTCAGTTTTAATGAAGAGAAAATAAATGTACTACTATTTTCAGAATGAAATAGCAGTGAGAGTTGCGAAATTCATGGTATAGCAGGCAACTTCTCAATAATGACTTATATTTTAGTTTTAAGAAAAGAGTTGAAAATTTCACTTTCACTCAAATACAATTTCCCCAGAAGCAATCATCTGGAAACCAGGAGACTCTTGGTCCATAAAAACTCAGGATACTCTCTTCCCTTCCCCCTTTTATTTTAGGTTTTCCCC